GCAGTTCAGGGTGGGAGATGCTGACTTTATTCTTTTATTTCACCGTGCCTAGTGAAGATCTTAGAGATCCCACGTGCTCAGATGAGAACCAGGAACACCAAACCTTCAGATCCAAGTCTCTTGTGTCCCCCTTTGAGGCTGCTCTGCATCTGCAGCTGCCTGTGAGCCCGCTTGCTGCTGGACCCGCTGTGTTTGGGCTGGAGTGAGGAGCAATCTGAGCAGATTCAGGGGCAGCAGGACCTTTGTTGGTTCCAGGAGGTGTCTCTCCAGCCATGACAAACTGCTGGTCCTGCTTCTTCCACTCCTCATGTGCCTCTGGGAGGTGCTCCTGCATGGACTGGTGCAGCACCAATTGCAGTGAACAGGCTGTAGTAGCAGCTCTCCCCTTCAGCTGCTGCTCCATAATCCTCCTGTTTGCATCTCCTGCTTCAGAAACCACTTAGAAATCTCAAAGTCAAACAGTGTTAAGGGGAATGGGGGTGGATGTCTGGTTCTCATGCACAGCACGAGCATCTTAGGCACCCAGGGAAAGCTTCCCTGCCAGCCATTTACCAGTGCTTTGGTTGTCTTTCCCAGTCGACCACGTGGTTCCCGAGCCAGGGACCAGTTTGCTGACAGCGTTTGACCAGTGGAGAGAATGGGCAGACAGCAAATCCTGCTGTGACTACTCCCTGCACGTGGACATCACTGAGTGGCATAAGGGTGTCCAGGAGGAGATGGAAGCTCTGGTTAAAGATCATGGTAAGCTCAGCCTTCCCCCTCCTCGTTTTGTTTTGCTTGTGAAGGATTTTACTCTTATACCCCGATAAAGGTGGTTTTGGGCCCGTTCTGGCTCCTTGTGAAGGTATTGCAGGGCAGGGACTGATTTTCCAGAGGTGATTCTCCTGCTGCTGCTGTGCAGAGCAGCACCTTTGTCCAGTGGAGCCCCTTGGAGCTCATTAGTGCAGGGAGGTGATAATTGCAGCCTTTTAAACTGTTCTAAACAAGGGAAGTATCAGGCCCAGAAGGAGCAATCCATCCATCTCTGGCTGCTAGAAGTGAAAAGCAGAGTAAAATGACCTCACAGCTTTTCCCCCCTCTTTAATTTCCCAGCAGATTAAAGTCATTTATTGCTGCTTGCTGGGTGGGGAGGGAGGGGCTGCTGGAGGGGCTGTGTTTTGTAGCTTTACCTGTGCTCTCTTTTCTCCCAGGTGTGAACTCCTTCTTGGTGTACATGGCTTTCAAAGATCGCTTCCAGCTCAGTGACTCTCAGGTAGGAAGGCTTTTGGTGGTCGATGCTTCTGTCACTGCAAGCTCATAAAAGTGGTTAAATTCAATATACTGGGAGACCTGACATCCTCTTCTTGCCTCCAGTCTCCACGTGTGTAACAGAACCCGAGATTTGCAACAGTACCCAGAGCTCTGGTTGGAAGATTATATTTTTAATTAAAAAGGAAAGTGGCCAGCAGCAAACCCTGAAAGACTTGGCTGGGGGAAGCAACAGCAAACCCCTCATTTTGAGAAGTCTGAGGTTTTATTCCAGCTCCTCTGGGGTGGAAGCAGTGGCAGTTTTATGAATTGCTGCTTTATGCCTCTGCACAAGGGCAGGACAGTGAGACCTCTGGGTTAATTAATCTGTTTATAAGCTGAAACCGAGCCTGGTCCTGAGATGCTTTCTGGTGTTGGAGTGGCTGGGACCTTAAAAAGGAATTCCCCTCCTGTTTGCTGTTCTTGTGGGTACATTTGGGCACATCTGAACTGTTGAGAGGGGCAGTTGATATTCCTGAAGCTGTGGGAGGGGAGGAATGCCCGGGGAGTTGTTTGGAGCAGTGTAGGAGGTGCTGGAGTGTCACAGTTATCTCTGATGACTCTGGAAACATTTTAATGAGGGACCATTGACGGCGCCAGTTGTGGGTTACTCGACCTCAGCCCTCTCCAAGTGGTTGCTGGAGTGGGAAATCACACTGCTCCTACCTCCAGACATTGGATTTTCATGGAATAACTGCACCCAGCCCTCCACTGCGAGGGATGTTTCTCATGCCAGGCCCCAGTAAATGAAGGCATGAAACAGCTACAGCTCTGTGAGCTCTTCAAAACCGCTCCAGCTGTGGGCTTTTGCTGTTGGTAAATATTCCAAACCCATTGACTAACCCTCCTCTGCCGCATCAGTGACATCCAGCTTGCACAGATCAGGACACGAAGCGACAGCCGTGACCGAACGGGTCGCGCCCCTCCAGCAAACCCCGTCCCGCCTTCCTTAAAGCTTCTCCTCCCCCCTCTCCCACTCTGCAAAACCCCTGTTTGCTGCAGCTCAGCCTTTCTGGTGAGAGTGTTCGCCGTGGGGGATAAAAAAAGACCGCGTGTGTTTTCTGTCTCCCAGATCTACGAGGTCCTGAGCGTGATCCGGGACATCGGCGCGACGGCCCAAGTGCACGCCGAGAACGGTGACATCATTGCCGAGGTATGGCCTGTTTATTCTGGGCATTATTCCCTCCAAAACGCTGGCAGGGCTTGAAATTCTCCTGCCTTCTTTGCAAAGGCTGTTCAAAGCGTGGCGAGGTGGGGGTGTGAGCAGAGCTGGGGCAGCAGATTTGGGAGCCCTCGCCGCTGGTAAAGCGGGTTTTGGTGGCGGCTTTTGGTTCGTGGTGAACGGGACATCTTTTCCTAGGAGTAAAAAAACCTGGGTGTGACCATCCCTATGTGCAATAAATAAAATGTTCTGCAGTAAGTAAGAGGAGTGGGAAGGGATAAAGCCTCACACAGTACCCGAGATGCTGATGGTTGGGGTCTGTTCATCCTCCGAACAGCAGCAAAGAGGAGGTGTTAATAATCATCTGGATTTGACCCGATCTCCAGCTCGTTTTATACACTCTGCTTCAAGCATGCAGAGGATTTCTGTGCTGTCTGACTGGGAAAAGGGCCCACCTGAGCCTCTGAGCTCACTTGTCTGCAGTTGCAGGATGATTTCTTTTCCCGAGGTATCGTTTTGCCACATCCTGGAGATGGTTTTATGGACACAAATGAGTCTTGGAAGTGGAGGGGCTGTGAACCCAGTGGGAAGCAAATCCAAATAAAAGGTTTCCTTGACCTCCTGTGAGCAAATCAGCAAGGGCTTTGGGAGCTCTGGTTATTGTCAGCAAGGGAAGTTGGACAGGACTCTGCTTGCCTTATGTGATTATCACCCAGCACAGATGCTTAGGATCTCACTTGTACCCCTTCCCAACAGCTGTGTGTGCTGCAAGAAAAACTGTCTGCTGCCTTAAATCTCTTTCCTGCTCTTTTTTTTTTCCCCCCCTTCTCTGCTTTAGGAGCAGCAAAGGATCCTGGAACTGGGAATCACGGGCCCTGAAGGGCATGTGTTGAGCAGACCTGAAGAGGTGAGGATTTGCCTGCCTTTGCATTTATCTCCCCCCCAATTTATAACATCTTTCCATTGCCTTCAAGTGCTTCCTGCTGGGATGAAGGTGGCTGGAAACAGGATTTCATCCTGACTGTAAAGATTCTGCCACTGACTTTTCTAGATCCAGCCTCTCGGGCTGCTCTCTCGGTCCTTATTTTATCAGATTTCTAGTCAATCAGCAGGATTTTTTAATGTGTGCCCAAATCCTGACATGGTCTGAGCCACTTGCACCTCTTCCATTCCTGTAATATTTGTTATTTTGATGAAATTTTACCAAGGGTAAAGGTATTTTTTAAAATATTTTTCTTTTTACACTAAGGGATTAAGTGCTTTGCTGAAGGCACAGAAAGTGTGTCCCAGAGAGGGGAGATAATGCTCAGGTCTCAACCCACTGCTTTGACAGAGTGAACCTTCCCACTTCCCCACTGATTATTTTTTAGGGACGAGCACCCCAATCCCTCTAAGCCTTCCAAATAAATCCCAGGGGCAAAGAAGAGCCTTCAAACTTCACTTTTGAGGCCGGTTCCCGTTTCATTCTTCCTTCCCACTCTTGCAGTGCCTGCGAGCTGGACACCTCAGCGTGGCATTCCTGCCTCATGGAGCCCATCTGCTCCGTGCAAGCCGTTCTTTTTTTGTCCCTCCGAGTTCCTGGGGGGGCTTTGCTTGCCTGCCAGATGTGGCAGCTGGGGAGGGGGGGTGAGATCATCCATCCACACGTGCCCCTGGTGCTCCTGCTCTTATTTGCTCCCCTTGCTCCGGGACAAGCAGCGTCCAGAGGGGTTTGGGTAGGAATATAAATCAGTGTGGGGGTGGAAATCCTCACAGAATTCGTGTGGGATCTTGTGCTTCCTGAATTTGTGAGTGAACACTTGCACTGAGCTTTCCATTCACCCATCCCTGCCTTTTTATTTAGTTTTAAAACAAATTTTAATGTCTTTTTTGGCTTGCACCAGGAAGGGAGGGAGCAGATGCTGAGCTCTGACACTGTGGAGCACCTCCTAAAGTTGTGTTGGCTCCAGAGGAAGGCTGCTCCCACCTTAAATAACCTGGACACCAAACCATCCAAGCTGTGTCTGGCTGCTCCAGAGCTCATCCTTTATGGAGCAGGAGCTCTAAAGTGTGAGCTGTGCGTTCCCCTGGCTTGCTGATGAGTGCAGAGCTGGCATCTCCCTCAGCACAGCTGAAAGCTGCCCCAGATGAGGAGCAGTGAAGCCTCTCCCTGCTGTCCCTCAGTGCAGCTGAGCTCAGCTGGGCTCTGCCCAGGGCTGGGAGGCGTTTGATCCAAAATTCTCCTCCTTGGAAGTCATAGGAAGCAGAGCAGGAAACGATGTCATCTGGTTCCCTCCCTCCCTCCCTCCGACGTGGGAGTGACTCTGTGCTTTTGAAAACATCCAACTCCCTGCAGACTGGCTGGTGATAGAGCCCAGATTCCAAGGCTGGCAGCACAACCCTAATTCCTGTTGACTTCAGCAGGAGTGGATGTTTGCTGTGTCCCTCTGGGGTGCTGTTGACACTAGAATCGGCTTCTCCCCCTCAGGATGGGATGCAAAGCCCATCCTGAGGACTGGTGGTTGCCATCTGGCTGAGGAGCTGCTTAACTCAGACCTCCATCTGCACCAGACGAGCAGGAGTTGTCCAGTGAGTCTGAAATATTTCTGATTAAATCAAAACTCCCACTCCTTTCGGCGGGAATTACAGCGGAGTGAGGCATCCAGGGGTCTGGCCATGTGTGTTTGTGTGCACATCTGAACTCCCAGCTCGGCAGGAATTCCTGAATTAAGGCTTAGGTTTCACTGCTGACTCAGGTTTAGGTCATCTCACCTGGGTTGAGCCAAGGTGACAGTGCTCAGCACCTCGTTCCAGCCACCAAGCAGAGCCCACCATCCCAAGTCAGCCTCACCCATCACTCTCTGGAAAACTCTCCCCCCCCTCGCAGCTCATTTCACTCTGTGATGACTTCCCCATCATTTTTTTTTTTTTGTTTTTATTTGAGCCACAAAAACGCTGAGAGCACAAGCAGGCCAAGTGCTCCAGGAAATGTCTGTCTTTTTTATTATTTTTTTTTTTCCCCTCCCCAATCCAAGAGGAATTGCTGTGCTAGGGCTTCTGATGCATCCTGATAATTGCAAACATTCCCCTTTGGACTAGTCCTTGGCTTATTGTTCTGTGCCTGTCACCAGAGCATCTGGGCACAAGGCAGGAATTCAGCAGCCTTGTTCTCTCTCTGTGCACAAAATATTCTCCTGCTGCTTTGCAGTTTGGTCCAAAGCCTGGTGGGGTGTGTTGTTTTCTCGTGGGGGGGGGGAAACTGAGGCACAGGAGTGGAAATGTGACTTCCAGGTGCTTGTCCAGAGCTGCTTTAATGGGGGGTTTGGTAACAGATGACACAGCCTGGATGCACTGGCCTGTCTTGAGTCCCCTCCTTGTCTCTCAGAAGGGACAACTGTGCTTTTCTTGGCTCTGCTCTCAGCCCCTGAGTGCTCCTGGCTGTGACACCCTGAGTCAAACCTCCTGGAACAAACACCCTCCCAGCCTTTTCCATTTGCCTGGGGCAGCTGGGCCTGAAAATATCCCCTTGTGTTCCCCCCTCTTTGCTTGGGGGGGGTCAATCCCAAACCCTGGCTGGGGCTGTGTAACCCTTTGGGCACCAGAGCCCTCCAGGATGGCTCTTGGGGGGGGGGGTGTTGTTTTGCTTTTAAAAGCTCCCAGCTGGTGTCCTGGTGGGTTTTTTCTGAGCAGCCCTGGGGTTCTTTTCCAGGTGGTTCTTTCCCTCCAAAGCACAGTGTTAGGAGCCAGCAGTCACACAGTCATGGAATGGTTTGGGATGGAATGGGGGGCTTAAAGCTCACCCCTGCCATGGGTAGGGACATCTTCCACTAGCCCAGGTTGCTCCCAGCTGGCCTTGAACACTCCCAGGGATGGGGAGCCCACAACCACTCTGGGCAGCCTGTTGTGATTCTGGGACTGATGGTGATGATTTGTGGTGCTTGGGCTGCAATTAAGTCACTGCAGAGCGGATTTTCACGAGTGCTGAGCGTGTCCCAACCCCTCCAGAGTCCATGGGAGGTGCTGGGAGCCTCCCATGGCCCACTTGGCACTCAGGTGGTGGGTTGCCCTGGGTTTGCTGACTGGGTTGTTTGCTTGGAGAATCTCTGTGGGATTGCAGGCTCTGCTCTCCGTGGCACTGTGAGCGTCACCCTGCTGTTAAATGCCTCATCTGGATCCTTTGATTGGGGTGTGTGACCCATGACAACCTGCAGGGTGATGCTGATCATCCCTCCCCAGGCTGCAGTCCCAGCCTGACCCCCACTTTTGCTGAGGTTCATCCCCGGGGGCACCTGCAAGGGGAAGGAGCTGATTTGTTGGGGTGGTTTTACACCCTCCTGTCAGATCCCAAGCCAGGGATTGTGGTGGAGGGTACAATTTGGGAGGCTTTGTTTGCAAACGTGGCTCCAGCAGGGTGTGTGGGGCAGCATCTCCCTGCTCTGGGGGCTGGGCCCTGAGCAGCTCTGTTGAGTCAACGTTGAGTGGCTTATTTTTGTCTGGGTTAAAGAAAGGGCTTAATCACTCTGACCTGGAGTGTTGGTTTAGCTCAGGCTTTGTCTGCTGGCAGAGAAACTCTGGAGCAGCCTTGGGAGAAGAGGTTCTAATGAGAGGGGACTGCAGCTTGGTGTCGTTTAGTCGCCGTAAATTGGAATTTGCAGAGTTGGAGAGGTGGGAAGTGCCTCATCTTGGCCCTGCAGACCCTCTGGGCTGCCCCTAACCTGCCTTTGCTCCTCAGGTGGAGGCAGAGGCCGTGAACAGGGCAATCACCATCGCCAACCAGACCAACTGCCCCCTCTATATCACCAAGGTGATGAGCAAAAGCGCCGCTGATGTCATTGCTCAAGCCAGGAAAAAGGGTAAGTTGTTTCCCTCTGAGCTCATGCACTTCAGCTCCCTGCCAGCATCAGCTCCATCCCCACAGGAAGGGTTTCTTTTTCCAGTGTTATCGTCCAGGCTGTGTTTTAAAAGGTCCCAAGCCACTGCTTCTGTCTCATCTCCCCCAGACAAGCATCCAGAGGTCCTGTCAGAGCCAGGAGCTGTTTCTTCTGTTCCTCCTGAGCCTCCCTCTGTTCACACTCATCCTCCCACACTAAGCCTGCACGTTATCCAGAGCCATTCCATGCTGGCTCCATTTAGTGGCTCCCCTTTGGAGACTGCAACTTCCAGCTGCTGTGCTGCTTTTTCCTGGGTGCTTCCTGCTGATCTTCCCGGGGCCAGAAGGGATTCCAGGAGCCCTGACAGGGATGTTGGCTCACTAGCCCTGTTGGATTTAGCTGGATTTAGCCAAAGAGCTCCCCAAATCCAGCTGCCCACTGTGCTCCTTGCTTGTGGGATGGATCCTCCTCATGTGCTGGATCCCACAGCCTGACATCCAAACAGGAACTCTGCCTCCAGGCTGCTGCAAGAAGCAACATTCAGAGCTGCAGTGGATGCTGCTCCCCTGTCTGACTGAGGTTTGGGAGGGAGCTGAGCTGCTCTGAGAGCCCTGTTGCTGCTGCCTTGCCCTGGAGGAGGGAGGGTTACCCACAGTGAGTGCCTGTCTCCTGCTCTATCCTGTGACTAAACCCTTCATTTCTATTTAAAGCAGCTCTGGGCGGGTGAGTAAGCAGGAGGGATGATTTGCCCCCTTCTCTCCTCACAAGGATTTGATTTTATGCAGTCCAAATAAGCCTGGATGGATATACAAATGACATCACTTTCCATCTGGGTGTTTGGTGTGAGAAGAGCTGGTTTCCTACTGCAGCAAACAGATTTGTGTCTGTGCATTGGCTCGGGAGGATTTTTGGTCCCATGACTCCTGTTAAATGAGTTCTGCTGGGGAGGACTGATTTCCAAGGCATCTCCTTCTGCTTGTGGCTGTTTGGGATAAACCTCCCTCTCCCAGCTCCATCGGTGGGGATGGTGCTGAAGGAGGATGTGCTGACACAGCAAAGGGGCTGAACGTTGGGTCATCCCAGAAAACAACTGGATGTCGTCGTGCAGCTGAACCCTGGGAGCCAGGGGAGCATCCCTTCCCTTTTTTAAGAGAAAATACCGGAGGCATAGGCACCACAGAGGGGCAGCATCCCAAAAAAAACCACCTTCTTGGTCCTGTCTCCCAACCAGCTATGAGTAGAGGGGGGCATTGGGATGAGGGACCACACACTTGGGTCACAAGAAGCCATAAAACACAGCCTGGCCTGGCTGAATGTTGCCCTGCCTGGGAAAGGTGCTGGGATTCTCCCAGATGAATTGACTCACAGGACTCACTTCACTCAAGACTCCTGAGCTGCAACACAACAGTTCTCGTTCAAATTGTGTTTTCTCCTAAAAAGGAGAAATTGGGGTATAGATGGTGCACCATCCTCTGTCCCTTCATTTAAATAATTCAATTTAAATGCCGTGCAGCAGGCCAGGAGGGCCACACACACAAGCCTTGCCCTCCCAGGCAACAGAGGAAACATAACTGAAGACTGTCCAAGGCGAAAACAAACCAGAATTGATTTGCTGAATGGAAAAGAACGAATGTTATTTAAAGCCAGATGTTCCCAGTGGCGTTTGTATGGAGGAGATTCCCTGCAGACTCTGCTGCTGGAAAATCTGGGAGCTCAAAACATCACTCCCTGCAGAACAATCCCCCCAATGTCCTGGCCCACAACAGGCCTCCCGTTAATAGCCAGCGTGTGTTTGGCTTTATTCTGATTTCAGAACCCTATTTGTGGCCAGTGATGTCAGAAAAGCCTCTTCCTCTGCTGCTGGAAAGCCTCTGACAAAGGCTTGTTCTGCCCCTCCTGTGTCAGTGGGGCCCTGGGAGCAGCATGAAGCCAGTTCATCATTTTGCCTCGGCTGATGGACTCCCTCCCAGCTAGTTCGAGACCTCACAGGCATAACAGTAGCTCTGGCAGTACAGTTAAATAAATACATATTTGCTTTCTCTCTGCATGGAGAGGTACAGGACCCCAATTCTGGGCTTGGCTTTGCCCGTCTTTTCCGACTGCAGCACTCAGGGTTGGTGCCTGCACTGCCCACACCTTCTGCAGGCACGTGGAGAGCTCAGCAGGCAGGTGGGTGGGCACAGCACAGAGCTGGGGAGGGGTTTTGCATTTGGTGAGCAGATCCCCTGAGGGCTGCCAGCTTGGGCTGCCTTTGAAGTTGCAGCATCTTGACGGTGCTTGGTGTGCAGATGGTGCATCCCAGAGGGTCCTGAGCTGCATTTGTGAACCAGGAACACCAGTATTTCCCCTCTGCATGCAGGAAATATTCCTGGTAGGAGTTCTCTCCCTCCTAATCTGGGCACAGATTAATCTTGGTCTTTTATACATAGGAATTGATAAAAATGCTGCAGGCTTGTTTTTTTCATTCTTTTCCTTCCACATCTCTTGTAGATCAGACTGGATCTGCTCATGCCCTTACAGTTCCCCTCAGCCTCTCTTTGTAACGTTCTTGGTCCAGGATAAACAAATAAATGAATATAAACAGTAAAATGAATCTTTACACCAACCCTTTCAAGCAAAATTGATCAGTGCAGTTGTGTAAAGGATCGTGCACATTTTGCTGCTCCAGACACTGATCAGGAGCAGTATCTTTATTATTGTCTTTATTAATTACTTCCAGCCCTGCAGCTTGTGGTGGTGGCACAGCTTGCCTGCCTCGTCCTTTCTCCTAGGATGCTTTTTGCCTGGATCCAGGCTGGAGATGCCCCTCTCTGGGTGCTCACTGTGGGTTTGTGTGTGTCCCTGTCCTGCAGGCACTGTGGTGTATGGAGAGCCCATCACAGCCAGCCTGGGGACTGATGGATCCCATTACTGGAGCAAGAACTGGGCAAAGGCAGCAGCTTTTGTTACATCCCCACCGCTGAGTCCTGACCCAACCACTCCTGATTTTCTCAACTCACTACTGTCCTGGTGAGTAGAGCTGTCTGTGTTCACACAGCTGTGAGACAAGAGGCTGGTAAAACAGCTGCTGTTGCCTTTAGGGGTAAACCTGTGACGACAAAATGTCTTAAACACCTGTTTTTATCCTTTCCAGTGGAGACCTCCAAGTGACCGGCAGTGCCCACTGCACCTTCAACACTGCTCAGAAAGCTGTTGGGAAGGACAACTTCACCCTGATCCCTGAGGGAACCAATGGCACTGAAGAGAGGATGTCCATCATCTGGGACAAGGCTGTGGTATGTCACACAAGTCACAGGTTCTGGGGTGGAAGAGCTGCAGGAGGGTGTTTTTACCTCCCTCAGACACTCGTTATGGTCCTTCCACTTGACTTTTTCCTTTTTTTTGGAGTGGTCCCCACCTTGCTCATGCAGTGGGCTCCTCTGCTCTTCCCCCAGGTGACTGGCAAGATGGATGAGAACCAGTTCGTGGCTGTGACCAGCACAAATGCAGCCAAAATCTTCAACCTGTACCCGCGGAAGGGCCGCATCGCCGTGGGCTCGGACGCCGACCTGGTTATCTGGGACCCCGACAGCGTCAAGACAATCTCTGCCAAGACTCACAACATAGTAAGGACATCTCCTGCAATGCCCTGCTGCTCCTTTCCTCCCCTCTTCCTCAGTGCCAGGCTGTGCTGCCAAAAAAACCAGAGCTTGTGACAGCTCAGGGTTTGTTCTATCCATGCCCAGAACCCTCTCTGGTCTCACACTGCTCAGTTGTGTCGAGCAGAGCGAGCCCAAATCTGAAATCATGTGAATACCCAGAGATTTCCCCCGGAGCAGAGAGCCTGTCAGCTCTTTCTCAGTGTGGGATGCTTGGATCTGAGCACACAGAAAGCTCTTTAAATCTTCTAAGCTATCAAAAGGCCTCTTAGGACAGTGTGTTGTTCATGACCTCCAGGCCCTCCAGCAGTGGGAAAGGGAATAAAAAGGGAAATAAAAATCCTTTTTCTACTTGGGGTCAGTGAAGCTTTGTCAGCTCATGGACACCTTTGCTGGAGATCTGACCCAGATGCAGTGTCTGAGTGGATTTACACCGTGTGCTGATGTGTGGGGTCATGACTTTACAGGTTAGTTGGCACAGGGAGGTGCAAAGCAGCACCCAAACTCACCAGACCTTCCCCTTGGTTCTTCTGCAGCTTTGTGGTGGCACTTAGAGGCACAGTTTGCTGTGTCCACACCTCATACCTGACCCCTGGAGTGAAAAAAAGCTGTCCCAGCCTGTGGGAATCCGCAGAGCATTCCCAGTGCAAGGGGCTGGCTGGAGTCTCCCCGTGACATTGGAGCCCTGTCTCAGAGAAAGCAGCCACTGTTTGCATTTGTTGACAACTTGTTTCCCTGCTGGCCATGAACCTATGGAATGTTTCCCTGGAAAAAACCTCCTTGTTCTTTTTTTCCCCCGTGAATGCTTTCATTCACTCTGGAGCTATAAAGGAGCAACATTTTCTTCCACACTTGGATCCCTGGGCACATTCACAAAGAAACTTCTTCTTTTTTTTTTAAAAAAAGGTTTGGTTCAGTTCCCTGTGACCGAACTCAGTGTCAGAATTGGTCACAGATGGCCTGGCTTCATCCTGCCTCTGCTTGGAGGCTTCTGACAGGAATTCCAGGAGTCTGGTCACTTCAGTCACCTCGGAGGTGCTTCCAGACTCCTTCCAGTCTGGAGAGGAATGACTTAGAGAGGAGGCAGCCCAGGCAGTCACTGCTTTTAGGTGCCAAATTTAGTGCTCTGAGCCTGGTTTTGTCCTTATGAATGGCTGGGAGAGCAGCTGGGTGGGTGGAGTGTTTGCAAATCATCGCTCTTTAATGGCTGTTGTCTTTAGGAAATGACCCCGAGCTCTTTACATTTCCTAGCACAGAACTCAAAAGGCTTTCTCTTTTGTGGATGTGTCGATATGTGGATTTCTTCCTAGAAAGGGTGTCTAAACTTTGGAAAGGGCTTAAGGAGGTTCCCAGGGAACGACTGGATGTGGCACTCAGTGCTCTGGGCTGGCTGACAAAGGTGGGGGCTGGTCCCAGGTTGGACTCTGGAGATCTTTTCCAACCTCTGTGATTCTGTATTTTTTGGTATCTCACGCTGCACAAATGCCTTGTGTTAGAAGAGAAAGTGATACAAGTGATGCCTTTGGGAGTCCAGGAGTCGTGGGTTGGTCAAGTCTGGAACAAAAGGCCCCTTTTGAGAGCAGGCACAGGGTGCTGTGGCACAGGGAGCCCCAGTAATTATGTGGCCTTGCATGATTGTTACTTTTTTAAATGTTCAGGCGAGTTACAGATATTTCCCAAGAATTCACACTGCTCTTGCCACTCTCTGGCAAGGAAACATCGGGAGCTAGAGAGGGAGATGGTGTTGTTCTTGGAACCAGCCTCATCCATAAGCTCCTGACCAAGCCTCCTCCTCTGCCACCACAAGTTTTTTCGGGCTGGACCCGGTTCAGGGCCGGTTTAACCGCTGTCCTGGCTCGTTGTACGGCTGCAGTCAAGCCTGTCCACGCTTATAACACACTTCCAGGGCAAACTCCATCATTAACTCAGTAAAAAAGGCCTGGATCTGACTCAGATGGTCACTGGAGTAACAGCCCCCAGATAACGTGGTTGCTTCTCTCATTCCAGGAGGCTCCACGGGTGCCACATTTGCAGCCATTCCTTTCAAAAACTTGCCTTTTTTTCCTTGGTGTGATGTTTCCAATCCTGTTAATTGAGGATGAGCAATCCCATTAAGAGTAAAACAAGATTGCCCCGGCCCCTGACCCTTCAATGAAAACTTGGGTTTGCAGTACAGATTTTCAGAATGATCCTTATTTTAAACGTGAGGCTCAGGCAGAGCTTTCTTTGGCTCCCAAATCCCCCCCCAGTTCACCAGGAGAGAGGTGCCTAAAAATGCGTTGGAACAGAGAGGTTTTTCCTCTTGCCCTGTGCCTGTCACAGGGTTTTCCATGGGATATTGGGAAGGAATTCTTCCCTGGGAGAGTGTGGAGAGGCTGGGATGGAATTCCCAGAGGAGCTGTGGCTCCCTCCTCCCTGGGAGTGCCCAAAGCCTGGTTGGAGCGACCTGGGCTGGTGGAAGGTGGATGATCTTTTAAGGTCCTTTCCGTGAATCTTGTCCCGAAGGAAATTTTGCCTTCGTAAATCCTGAAGAAGTTTCAGGCCGGTTGAGGGCGGATTAAACCCCGTAAATGACAGTTCCCTGACGTGTGTTGCAGTCCCTGGAGTACAACATCTTCGAGGGCATGGAGTGCCGCGGCTCCCCCCTGGTGGTGATCAGCCAGGGCAAGATCGTGCTGGAGGATGGCAACCTGCACGTCACCGAGGGCTCGGGGAGGTACATCCCCAGGAAACCCTTCCCAGACTTCGTTTACAAGCGCATCAAAGCCCGCAGCAGGGTGAGTGTTCCCTGCGTTTTTAAGAATATTTTTTATTTTAAGTTATTTTTCTATGTTTTAATATTTCTTTGTAAATATTTTTTAATTTTAATAATATTTCTATTTTAATAATATTTTTGTTTTACTAATATTTTCTCTGTAATAATATTTTCTTTGTAATGATATTTTGATATTTATTTGAAATTAATACCAATATTTTCTCTTGGTAATATTTAATATTTTTCATTTTTATATTTAATATTTTAATACTATTCTGCTCTTATTTTTAATAATATAATCTATTTCTAATACCATCTTATTAATATTCCATGACACATTAATAACTATATTTTATTATTTAATTTATAATACTTTATTTTATTTTAATAATATTTTAATAATACTTAAATATTTTAGTAATGACATATCTTATTTTTTATTTGTTTTATTTTTATATTATTTTCACAATATTTTAATATTTTATAATAGTTCAATAATGATTTATATAGGTTCATTTTTATTTCATGTCTTTATTTTACCAATATATTAATATATCTTATATTTTATTAATAATGTTATAAATATTTATTTATTTTATATTTTTGTATTATTTTAATAATCTTGTAAAATATTTAAACAATATTTTATTTTAGTTAAAAGTATTTTATTTAGAATAAAAAATGAATACAATATAAATACGTACTATTAAATATATTAAACATGATAATGATATTTAAATAATATATTTAAATAATGTTTTAATATTACTTTTCTTTAATTATTCTCTGTCTTGGGACACCCAGACAGACTCTGTGTCCAGGAACCCCCCAGTCTGGACATGTAAATAACCTACCCCAGAGGTAGCAAGGGAAGTTCTCAGTAGCATTTACACATCAAACCTTGCAGCAGCCATCCAGAATTGTAATTTATTGCTCTGGAGACGCGGTGCTGCTTCCCCTGCTGTCACCTGCCATCAGCTGCTCTTGTCTGGTGACTGGTGAGTCACTGGCACAGCCTCCTGGCTGCTTAAAAGGGACACTTTTTGATGCTGAAGAGGCTCAGGGTGTGGGAAAGGGATTGTGGGAAGCACATTCCGACCCCACAGCGCGTGGCTGGTGTGGCCTGTCTGCCCCAGGAGCACAAGGGTGACCTCTCAATCCAATTGGGCAGCATCTCAGCTGGAATAATTGCATTTAAGCCAAGCTCCAGCTCACAGGCTGGGGCTGAGAAGCCAGCCTGGCTGCCCTGGGGCTGTCCTGCCCTCTTTGCTTTTTGGGGAGGAGCAATAAGTTGCATTTGGGAGTTGTCAGGAGCCTTTAATACCATGGCAGGTAGGTTGGGATCGTTAAAAGGGCAGCACCCGCAGGGCAGGGGACAGGCTGGGTGTCTCTGTGGGCTGGAGCCACAACAGTCCAGAGCACATCCCGTGCCACGTGTTAATTTACAGGATTAGAGGAGTCTTGACCGAAATGCTTAAATTTTTGGAGTCATAAAAATTTTGGGGGTGTTTCAAATTGATTAAGCTTAGCATTAGTTAATAGGATTTTTGTCCTGCACAAGCTTACCTAGAGTCAGGAACAGCATTTTATACCCTGTCCCACACCAAGGATCTCCCAACAGTGGGGTGTTTGGGAGTGCAATATAGATATAAAATAGATAAAGATATAAAGTAGGTTTAGATATAAAATAGGTACAGGTGTAAAATAGGCATAGATTTAAAATAGGTATAGGTGTAAAATAGATATAGATGTAAAATAGATATATAAAATAGGTTTAGATATTAAATAGGTATAGATTTAAAACAGGTATAGGTGTAAAATAGATATAGATATAAAATAGATATATAAAATAGGTTTAGATATTAAATAGGTATAGATTTAAAATAGGTATAGGTGTAAAATAGATACAGATGTAAAATAGGTACAGATGTAAAATAGTTACAGATGTAAAATAGATATAGATGTAAAATATAGATATAAAATAGGTATAGATGTAAAATAGATATAGAATAGGTATAGGTATAAAATAGATACAGACATAGATATAAAATAGGTGTAGATATAGATGTGAAATAGGTACAGATAGAAAATGGATACAGATGTAAAATAGGTATAGCTACAAAATAGGTACAGATACAAGGTAGGTACAGATATAAAATAGATACAGATGTAAAATAGATACAGATATAAAATACAGGTATAAAATAGATACAGATACAAAATAGACCCGGATATGGAGCAGCTCCCCAGGGATCAGAGCAGATGACGCGCGCTTTCCAATCCTCTTACCAAGCACCCGCCTCGCAATGTGTGTCACTGGCTTAGCAACATCTGGGCAGCTGTGGGGCTGGTTCTGGGGGCTGTGGGGCTGGTTCTGGGGGCTGTGGGGCTGCGTTCTGAAGGCTCCTGTGCCCTGCTCTGTGTTTGCAGCTGGCTGAGCTGCGGGGTGTCCCCCGAGGCCTCTACGACGGCCCCGTGTGCGAAGTGTCGGTGACACCGAAGACCGTCACGCCGGCGTCCTCGGCCAAGACCTCCCCTGCCAAACAGCAGGCACCCCCCGTGAGGAACCTGCACCAGTCGGGGTTCAGCTTGTCTGGTATGGGATTTCATGAGGCTGAGTGGTTTGTTGCTGTGAGATCAGGAAATTGCGGCTGGTTTTTGCTCCGGTGCTCCGAATTAATTCTGCCGAAACGGGCAGGCAGTGGGGTGTGTTTAGCTGGGAGGTGTCGTCCCTTTGGGAAGGAAGAAGAGCAGTGCAGGAGCTGCCATAAGGTCCTGCTGCTTCTCATGCCGTGGCATGGATGCTGAACACCCCAGTGTGTGCTGGGCTCCACGTCTGGGTGTCTGGAGAGGGCAGATCAGGGAATTCCAGTGTGGTTTGGGTTGGAAGGGACCTTAAATCCCATCCAGTTCCAACCCCCTGCTATGGGCAGGGACACCTTCTACAAGCCCTGTCCAACCTGGCCTTGGACACTTGCAGGGATGGGGCAGCTTCTCTGGGAATTCCATCCCTGCCCCTCACCACCCTCACAGGGAAGAATCCTTCCCAATATCCCATCTAACCCCGCCCTCTGTCAGTTTGAAACCATTCCCTCTTGTCCTGTCACTGCAGGCCCTTGTGTTTAAAAGTGAGAATTTTCTATTTTTAAGAGGCTGGCAAGGTCTGGTTTTCAGATGGCACCAACTCCAGCAGAGCTTTGCCAGGGATGGGGCAGCTTTGATTTCTCAGCTGCTGTTCCAGTGCAAGAAGGGCAAACTATAAAAAGGGATAAGAAAGCTTCCCAAGGGAAAAGCATTTAGCCAACCCTTCCCTGTGCAGGGCTGGGTGGTTTAGGTGTTCAGGGCAGAGAGGTTATTAATGCAGAACAGCTTTCAGCAGATTCAAGGCACTGGGAGCCAGTAGGAGCTTTCCCTCCACAGAATCATGGAATTGTGGAAAAGCCATCCAAGGTCATCAAGTCCAACCACAGCTCAGCACCACCACTAACCCACCTGCCCAAGTGTCACATCCACGTGGTTTTGGAGCACTCCAAGGGTTGTTGACTCTCTGTCTCTCTGTCTCTCCCCCACAGGGGCACAGATCGACGACAACATCCCGCGCCGCACGACCCAGCGCATCGTGGCACCGCCGGGCGGACGTGCCAACATCACCAGCTTGGGCTAAGGACCCTCCCCTCCTGTGCCCACCAGGCAAACCAGGGGGGCCAGGGCACCTGGAGACCCTTCTTGATCCTTTTAGAGCCTGTGACAGTTACTGCGGGCAACCAGTGAGGGGGGGCTGAAGTAAAAGCGCCTCTTTCAGTCCCCTCAGATTTCCCTCCTCATCTTCACCGACCCCCCTCTCACTTTCCCCCCACCCCCTCCCCCTTTACACATTTAAAGAAATAAACCCTGTTTTGGCACCTCTGACATGCAAGAGTAAATGTAAAGAGGGTATTTGAGATATGTGGCCTCTGTCCCATTCAGCATCTTTCTTTTAATAAAGGAAGGATAAAGTGAATTTCCCGGGAGCTGCCTTTAAGACACACACACACAAAAGAAAAA